AACATATATGCACCCAATACAGGAGCACCCAGATTTATAAAGCAATTTCAAAAAGACCTACAAAGAGACTTAGACTTCCACACAATAATAGTGGGAGACTTTAATACCCCACTGTCAATATTAGACAGATAAATGAGACAGAAAATTAACAAGGATATCCAGGACTTGAACTCAGCTCTGGACCAAGCAGACCTAATATCTACAGAACTCTACAGAACTCTCCATCCCAAATCCACGGAATACACATTCTTCTCAGCACCACATTGCATTTATTCTAAAACTGACTACATAATTAGAAGTAAAACACTCCTCTGCAAGTGCAAAAGAAAGGAAATCATAACAAACAGTCCTAGAACACAGTGCAATCAAATTAGAACTCAGGATTAAGAAACTCACTCAAAATCACACAACTACATGGAAACTGAACAACCTGCTCCTGAATGACTACTGGGTAAATAAAATGAAGGCAGAAATAAAGATGTTCTTTGAAACCAATGAGAACAAAGACACAAAGTACCAGAATCTCTGGGACACATTTAAAGCAGTGTGTAGAAGGAAATTTATAGCACCAAAGGTCCACAAAAGGAAGCAGGAATGATCTAAAATCAACACTCTAACATCACAATGAGAATAACTAGAGACACAAGAGCAAACAAAATCAAAAGCTAGCAGAAGATAAGAAATAATCAAGATCAGAGCAGAACTGAAGGTGACAGAGACATGAAAAACCCTTCAAAAATTCAATGAATCCAGGAGCTATTTTTTTGAAAAGATCAACAAAATAGACCACTAGCCAGATTAAAAAAGAAAAAAATGGAGAAGAATCAAATAGACACAAAAAATGATAAAGGAAATACTGCCACCAATCCCACAGAAATACAAACTACCATCAGAGAATACTACAAACACCTCTATGCAAATAAACCAGTAAATCTAGAAGAAATGGATTAATTCCTGGACACATACACCCTCCCAAGACTAAACCAGGAAGAAGTTGAATCCCTGAATAGACCAATAACAAGTTCTTAAATTGAGGCAGCAATTAATAACCTACCAACCAAAAAAAGTCCAGGACTAGATGGATTCATAGCCGAATTCTACCAGATGTACAAAGGGGAGCTGGTACCATTCCTTCTGCAACTATTCCAAACAATCCAAAAAGAAGCAATCCTCCCTAACTCATTTTACAAGGCCAGCATTATCCTGATACAAAAACTAGGCAGAGACACAACAAAAAGAAAATTTTAGGCCAATATCCCTGATGAACATCGATGTGAAAATCCTCAATAAAATACTGGCAAACCGAATCCAGCAGCACATCAAAAAGCTTGTCCACCAAGATCAAGTCAGCTTCATCCCTGGGATGCAAGGCTGGTTCAAGCTACACAGATCTATAAATGTAATCCATCACATAAACAAAACCAATGGCAAAAAACACATTTATCTCAATAGATGCAGAGAAGGCTTTTGACAAAATTCAACAGTCTTTCATGCTAAAAACTCTCAATAAACTAGTTATTGATGGAATGTATCTCAAAATAATAAGAGCTATCTATGACAAACCCACAGCCAATATCTGACTGAATGGGCAAAGACTGGAAGCATTCCTTTTGAAAACTGGCACAAGACAAGGATGCCCTCTCTCACCAATCCTATTCCACACAGTATTAGAAGTTCTGGCCAGGGCAATCGGGCAAGAGAAAGAAATAAAGGGTATTCAATTAGGAAAAGAGGAAGTCAAATTGCCTTTGTTTGCAGATGACATGATTGTATATTTAGAAAACCCCATTGTCTCAGCCCAAAATCTCCTTAAGCTGATAAGCAACTTTAGCAAAGTCTCAGGATACAAAATCAATGTGCAAAAATCACAATAATTCCTATACACCAATAACAGACAAACAGAGAGCCAAATCATGAGTGAACTACCATTCAAAATTGCTACAAAGAGAATAAAATGCCTAGGAATACAACTTACAAGGGATGTGAAGGAGCTCTTCAAGAAACACAAATCACTGCTCAAGGAAATAAGAGAAGATACAAACAAATGGAAAAACATTCCATGCTCATAGAATGAATCAATATTGTGAAAATGGCCATATGGCTTAAAGTAATTTATAGATTAAATGCTATCCCCATCAAGCTACCCCTGACTTTCTTCACAGAATTGGAAAAAATGACTTCAGATTTCATATGGAACAAAAAAGAGCTCACATAGCCAAGACAATCCTAAGCAAAAAGAACAAAACTGAAGGCATCATGCTACTTAACTATAAACTATACTACAAGGCTACAGTAACCAAAACCAAAACAGATATATAGGCCAATGGAACAGAACAGAGGCCTCAGAAATAATACCATACATCTACAACCATCTGATCTTTGACAAACCTGACAAAAACAAGCAATGGAGAAAAGATACCTTATTTAATAAATGGTGTTGGTCAAACTGGCTAGCCATATGCAAAAAGCTAAAACTGGATCCCTTCCTTACACCTTGTGTAAGGAAGTGGGTGAAGGATATTAACATACACTTCTCAAAAGAAGACATTTTCAGTGGTCATTAGAGAAATGCAAATCAAAACCAGAATGAGATACCATCTCATGCCAGTTAGAATGGTGATCATTAAAAAAATCAGGAAACAACAGATGCTAGAGAGGATGTGGAGAAATAGGAATGTTTTACACTGTGAGGGGGAGTGTAAATTAGGTCAACCATTGTGGAAGACATTGTGATGATTCCTCAAGGATCTACAGCTAGAAATGCATTTGACCCAGCAATCCCATTACTGGGTATATATCCATAGGATTAGAAATAATTCTAATATAAAGACACATGCACACATATGTTTATTGTGGCACTGTTCACAATAGCAAAGATTTGGAACCAACACAAATGCCTATCAATGATAGACTGGATAAAAAAAAATGTAGCACATAAATACCATGGAGTATTATGCAGCCATAAAAAAGATGAGTTCATGTCCTTTGCCAGGACATGGATGAAGCTGGAAACCATCATTCTTAGCAAAATAACACAAGAACAGAAAACCAAACACCACATGTTCTCAATTGTAAGTAGGAGCTGAACAATGAGAATACATGGACACAGGGAGGGGAACATTACACACCAGGGCCTGTTGGTGGGTGGGGAGATAAGGAAGGGATAGAATTAGGAGAAATACCGAATGTAGATGATGGGTTGATGGGTGCAGCAAACCACCATGGCACATGTATACTATGCAAAAAACTTGCACATACTGCACATGTGCCCCAGAACTTAAAGTATAATAATAATAATAATAATAAAAGAACAAATCTGGAGGCATCACATTACCTGACTTCAAACTACGCTACAAAACTATAGTTATCAAAACAGCATGGTACTCAATAAAAATAGGCATATAGACTAATGGAACAGAATAGATAACCCAGAAATAAAGCCAAATAATCACAGCCAACTCATCTTCAACAAAGTAAACAAACACTAAAGTGGAGAAAGGACACCTTATTCAACAAAGAGTGCTGGGATAATTGGCAAGTCACATGTAGAAGAATGAAACTAGATCTTCACCTCTACCTTATGATCAAAGACTTAGAAATCTAACACCTGAAACTGTAAAAATTCTAGAAGATAACATTGGTAAAGCTCTTCTGGACACTGGCTTAGGCAAAGACTTCATGACCAAGAATCCAAAAGCAAATGAAACAAAACCAAATTATTTATATTACATATATTATCTATTTATGATGGGACTTAATTAAACTAAAAAGCTTCTGCACAGCAAAAGAAATAATCAGCAGAGTAAACAGACAACCCACAGGGTGGGAGAAAATCTTCCCAAACATGCATCTAACAAAAGACTAATATCCAGAATCTACAAGGAAGTCAAAGAAATCAGCAAGGAAAAAAACATAATCCCATCAAAAAGTGGGCTAAGGACATGAATAAACAATTTTCAAAAGAATATATACAAATGGCCAATGAAAAAATGCTCAACATCACTAATTATCAGAGAAATGCAAATTAATACCACAATGGGATACCTACCTTACTCCTGCAAGAATGGCCATAATTTAAAAATTTAAAAATCACAGATGTTGATATGGATGTGGTGAAAGGAAATGTTTTCTTTTATACTGCTGGTGGGAATGTAAACTAGTACAACCACTAAGGAAAACAGTACAGAGATTCTTTTTAGAACTAAAAGTATAGCTACCATTTGACCCAGCAATCCAGCTACAGTACTGGGTATCTACTCAGAGGAAAAGAAGTCATTATATGAAAAAGATATTTGCACAGGCGTTTGTAGCAGCACAAGTTGCATTTGCAAAAATATAGACCCAGCCTAAATGCCCATCGACCAACAAGTGGATTAAGAAAATGTAGTATAAATATACCAGGGAATACTACTCAGCCATAAAAAGGTATAAAATGATGCCATTCATAGCAACCTGGATGGAGTTAGAGACCATTATTCTAAGGGAGTAACTCAGGAATGGAAAACCAAATATCACATGTTCTTCATGTTAAGTGAGAGCTAAGGTATGAGGATGAAAGCCCTAAGAATGATACAATGAACTCTGGGGATTCAGGGGGAAGGATCCCAAAGTTCCTTCCCCAGTGGGAGAAGGGTAAGGAATAAAGGAGTACACATTGGGTGCAGTGCACACTGCTTGGGTATTGAATGCACCAAAATCTCAGAAATTACCACTAAAAGACTCATCTGTGCAACAAAAAACCACCTGTTCCCCCAAAACTCTGGAAATAAAAAATATATAATTTATGCAAACAGATAAAATATTAGACCTTTTTCTTTAGTATAATATATAATTCTAATTTAATTATCAAAATCCTTTATTTTTATATCACTATATCTTGGTAATCATGTTTAAATATCACTATTGAAGATAGACTATTGAGTTTCCTTATTACCCCAAATATTAACTATACTAGATATTGCTATTTGGTCTCAAGAGAATGGATCCTTAAACAGACTCACTCTTCTAATGATCGATCTAGGCCTCGGTCAGGAGATCGATGGTGAGCACGTTCTGGTGAATGGCATTTTGTATTTGGCTTCATTGTAGAACTCATATGATAAGCATTACTTGAGTAATTTTGACGGCGAAGTTCTTGCACAGCCCTCTCCCTAAAGCAAATAGTGATGCTTTAAAATTTTATATCCAGCAAAATTATTAAAAGTATCATAAAACTGTAGCTTGATTTATACTTTAAAATCTAACATCACACAAAAAAACCTAAAACCTAAGAAATAATGCTTTCCATGCTGAAAAGCATTGTTTTTGAGCTTGCATCAAGATACATTTACCTTTCAAAGCGCTCTGTTCCAAGTTGTCTTTTGGTAATGTCTAAGTCAGCTTCCAGTTGTGTGACAACATTTCTGAACTGGGCCACATCTCTACTCTGGATGGCCCTATTTAAAAGAAGACAAGAATTACAGTTGACTAAACTTAAAATATGGCTATGATTCCTGGGGTACATGAAACCATATTTACAGTGGTTTCTCAGCTGGATCCAAATCACAATGTGATTTTCATGGCCAGATTTATTAGTGCATCTAAAATATGCCAATGTTAGAGACATGGTAAGTATGCAAAGTAGACTACTTGAAAAGCCTAAGCAATCCCAGTCTCATTCAATTAAACATTCTCTGTTTCAGTTTCCCTGTGGGATCATATTATATATCATCTATCTATACTATTTACTATAAATAACTTTTTATGTAAGTACTTAGAGGTATTATATAAAGTAGTAGTATGATCAAATAATTAACACTGGAATTCACTAGCTCCATGATTAATATGGTCTGTTTTATATATATCTATTCAACCAAGTGCCTTATAATAAAATTTGATATACACAATATTTAATGTAATAGGATCTTCCTTAAGAGTAAACAATGGCTCAAAAAACCTTTGATAAGGCACAATATCATAAGAAAGATAAACATTGATGAATGTCATTCACACAGAACATTCTATCCTCTTCGCTTGCTTTCAGGATAGTATCATAGACTGCTGAAATCTAAACTTTAGAGACTAATAACATAAACGTTTCACATGCTAATTCTACATGTTAGTATTTACCAGTCAGTCTAAAACAGAGCATAGCTCTTAGGGTGGAAGTTTTGGCATATTTCACTAAAGTAGATTTCCACCTACCACCTTGAGAAAGTAATCCTGCAAAACCAGTTGAAGAAATCATAATAGTCTAGCTATCGTAATGAAAAAGAATGACTCAGTCACTGCCACCATAACCTGAAAAAGAGGAAACTGGCCCTGGCTCTGAAGCCCTTGCCTAGTCAGGGGTTCCTAGGAATGGCTGACTGCAGAGACCATGCTTCTTATCCTTCCCCATATTCTGAGCTCTTATGCGATGACAAAGTGGAGGATGGATGGAAAGTGTTATAGATGGGATAGGTAAGGACAGAGGTTAAGGGTCCCCTATCAGTTTTTGTGAGAGGTGACCAAGTTTAATAGAAAAAAAATCACTATACAGGCAGGCATTTCGACCCAATTCTCCAGCCAAAGGTCTTCTAATAAGGTGCTAGGAGTGCTAGAGATCCAAAAAAAAAAAAAAAAAAAAAAAAAAGAAGCAGCAGCTAAAATCAATGTCCTGGGAAGTCCTGTATTTTGTGAATGCAGGTGTTTTTCTAGGTACCCAGTACACATTATAGGTACAAAAGAAAATATGGCATGGCAAATGCAAACATTAGGTTGCAATGTCTTGGTCTAAATATGAAAATTCTTTTGGTTTCAGACTGCTTATTTTTTTTCTCATTTTGTTATATTTCCCAAAGGCAATATGTTAGATCAGATATTCTATTATACTCAAAACTCTGTTGGAGAGAATAGAGATCATTAAACTCAAATTTAGATAAGAAAAATATAATAGCAAAAGCACTGTCTCTTCGGCAAATCATAATATTTCTGATCCTCTGATTAATTAATGGCATATAGGAGGCAAATTCTCTAAATTCTAGTTTTAAAATTCTACTAAAGATCAGAAATTTAAGATGTATGACTTTACATTGCTAAACAACTCACATTTTATTTTCTGCCAAACAAAGGTGTTCCTTAAGAAGCTGAATTTCAGATTCCTTTTCTTGAAGTGCTATCTGAGACTGATATTCTTTGTCTCGATTGGCCACCAGCAAAGCTTCTAGATTCTGCATGGAGATTCTCTCATTTGTCATCTGACTCCTCAGGAGTTCAATTTCAGAACGAGCAGAATCTAACTCATTCTCCATCTGTACAATAATAAAAAGATATCTACACTTGTTCCCATTAATTTACTTAACTATTATATTATCAGGGACTCACAAAATTTTCATAATCTGTTATAAACTGGCAAATACTTTTAATGTGATTTGAAATTGTGTCCCTCCTTCTCACCAAATAAACACACCACACATGTATGTATAGTATCACTTTCTCCATCTCTTTGACCACATCAGAAAATTCCTGAAGAAAAGGCTTATTAATTTCTAACTGCAACCAGTTTCTACTACCAGCTTTGATATTTCTTTACATACTCCTGCAAGACTGGCAGGATGATATCTGTGAGTACTGTTTTGTCCTGAGTCAGATGAGCTACATGCTTATAGAATGTCATTGGACTCCATAATTAAGGAATATAAGGAGTAATTGTACACTCCTTCTCTTGTGGAAAGCTTCCTTTTTTGAAAGTTATCTTGATAGTCCCAGCTACTCAGGAGGCTGACACAGGAGAATTGCTTGAACCAGGGAGGCAGAGGTTGCACTGGGCTGAGATCGTGCCACTGCACTCCAGCCTGGGTGACAGAGCGAGACTTTGTCTCAAAAAAAAAAAAAAAAAAAAAAAAAAAAGTTACCTTGAGCCTTAAAATATGCTTGGTGACACAAATGTTTTTTCAAAAGGAGGAAGAACAATCACTAGTAAAAAAAAAACAACCCACATTTCTTATCTTGTAATGTACATAATAAATCCTATATGTATTTAAAAAGTTAAATGTGAAAAGGTAAACTTTAAATTCCAGTAAGAAGAAATAAAAGTGAAATTACAGGGAAGGGAGATAGGCAGGCAGGGAAATAATTTTCTAAGCTAGATGCAACGCAAAAAAAAGTATGGTCACTTTAAAAAAAAAACACACACACATTTTGATAATCAATATGAACCTAACCAAAATTTGAAAGGAAACAACTGGAAGACAAATAAACTTAGTAAATAAAGTTAATTGTTTATATCTCTACTAACATAAAGAACTCATATGAACTGATGAGAAATATGAGCTAAATGAAAATGATCAGAAAATTTACTAAAGAAGAAATACAATTGAATTGTATATGTATAGGGAAAATTTACCCTTAATAGTAATAAAATAAATTAAAACAAGATGCCATTACTAGTTCAGGGTTCACCTCTCCCCAGAGACGAGTCTTGCCCTGTCACCTAGGCTGGAGTGCAGTGGTGTGATCTTGGCTCACTGTAACCTCCACCTCCCGGGTTCAAGCAATTCTGCCTCAGCCTCCTGAGTAGCTGGGGTTACAGGCATGCACCACCACACCCAGCTAATTTTTATATTTTTAATAGATGGAGCTTTACAGTGTTAGCCAGGATGGTCTGGAATTCCTGATCTCGAGATCCACCCGTCCTCCCAAAGTGCTGTGATTACAGGCATGAGCAACTGACCCCAGCCAAGGGTTTTTTAGCTTGACATTACTGATTTTTTGGGTTGGATCATTACTTGGAGTGGGGGCAGCCCTATGCATTACAGGATGCTTAGCAATATTCCTGGCCTCTGCCCAATCGATGCCACCAGCATTCCCCACTCTAGTAATGACCATTAAAAAGGTCATTATATTAAATGCGCCCTGGGAGCTAAATCTCTTTCAGCTGAACAAGAAAAACTCTACCAAAGACATTGTTCTAGTCTATTAGTGGAAAAATTTGTTAGTTTGTATTACATTGGGCAATGGCAATCTCATATACTTTGCTGGCAGGAGTAGAAAATGAACCATGACTTTTTTTGACAATAGCTTTTTTGAAATGTAATTCACATGTCATCAATTATTTTTAGCATATTAACATAGTTGTACCATCATTACCACAATCTAATGTTAGAACTTTTTCATCATCTCAAAAAGAAACTCAAGGTCAAGCATGAGGCTAACACCTGTAATCCCAGCACTCTGGGAGACCAAGGTAGGCAGATTGCTTCAGTTCAGGAGTTCGAGACCAGTCTGGGCAACATGGTAAAACCCCATCACTACAAAAAATACAAAAAATTAGCCAGGCATGGTGACATAGGCCTGTAGTCCCAACTACTCAGATGGCTGAGGTGGGAAATCACCTGAGCCCAGGAGGTCGAGGCTACAGTGAGCCAAGATGGCACCACTGCATTCCAGCCTGGGCTACTGGAGGACACCCTATCTCAAAAAAACAAAAACAAAAAACCAACACAGAGCCCTCTGTGGCCTTAGGCAACCCCTAAACTATTTTCTACTATTTGCCTCATTCTGGATATTTCATATACACAGAAACAATGTGTATGCGGTCATTTGTGACTGGATTCCTTTATTAGCATAATGTTTTTAAGAATTATCAATGTTTTAGCAGGTATCAAAATTTCATTACTTGTATATAACTTGTAATAACATTCCATTGCATAGATAAACCACAGATCTATTCATGAGTTAAACATATTTGACTTATTATACTTTGGGACTACTATAAATAATATTGCCAGAAAGATTTGTATACAAGTTTTTGCATGGACATGTTTTCCATTACTCTCGAACACACAGAAGTGACATTTATGAGCTGTATGGTAATCTAATTTTTAACATTTTGAGGAACTGCCACAATGATTTCCAAAGTTGCCTCACTATTTTACATTTCCACCAGCAATATATGAGAGTTTCACCTTTTCCACATTTTTGTCAACATTTTTTATCTTCTCTGTGACTATAGCCATCCTAGTCATTGTGAAATAGTATGATTTTGATTTTCATTTTTCTATTAATGATGTTCAGCATCTTTTCATGTGTTTATTGGCCATTTATGTGTCTTATGTAGAGAAATGTCTATTTTATCCTTTGCCGAGTTTTTTAGTTGGGTTATTAAATTTGAGACAAGGTTTCATTCTGTCACCCAGGCTGGCGTGCAGTGGCATGAACATGGCTCACTGAAGCAAACCTCCCACCTCAGCCTCTCAAGTAGCTGGGAATACAGCCGTGTACCACCACACCTGGCTAATTTTTGTATTTTTTGTAGAGATGGGTTTTTGCCATGTTGCCCAGGCTGGTCTTGAACTCCTGGGCTCAAGCGATCCTCCTGTCTCAGCCTCCCAAAATGCCAGGATTATAGGCATGAACTACCACTATATATTTTGAATATCAATCTTTTATCAGATATATGGTTAGCAAACGTTTTCTCACATCTTGTGCATCATCTTGTCACTTTCTTGATGTCATCTGCAGCACAGAAGTTTTTTTGTGTTTTAATCAAGTCCACTTAATCTATTTACTCTTTTTTTGCTTGTGTTTTTGACGTGTATTTAAGAAAGTGCTGCCTAACCCAAGGTCACAAAGATTTACTTCTATGTTTTCTTCTTAATACAGTTTTTGCTCTTACTTAAAGCCCTATGATTCATTTTCAGTTAATCTTTGCATGTGATCCAACTTCATTCTTTTCCATGTAGATGTCAGGTGGTCCCAATACCATTTGTTAGAAATACTATTCTTTCCTCATTGAATTGTCCTAACACCTGTATTTTGAAAAATCATTTGGGTACAAATGTATAAAATAAGCCATTTCTGGACTCTGAATTCTGTTCCATCAACCTGTATGTCTTTCCTTATGCTAGTATCACGCTGTCTTTTTTTTTCTTTTTTTTTCCCATTTATTTATTTTATTGCATTTTAGGTTTTGGGGTACATGTGAAGAACATGCAAGATTGTTGCATAGGTACACACGTGGCAGTGTGATTTGCTGCCTTCCTCCCCATCACCTACATCTGGCATCTCTCCCCTTGCTATCTCTCCCCAGATCCCCACCCTCCACCGTCCCTCCCCATTTCCCCCCAACTGACCCCAGTGTGTAGTGCTCCCCTCCCTGTGTCCATGTGTTCTCATTGTTCAACACCTGCCTATGAGTGAGAACATGCGGTGTTTGATCCTCTGCTCTTGTGTCAGTTTGCTGAGAATGATGGTTTCCAGGTTCATCCATGTCCCTACAAAGGACACAAACTCATCGTTTTTGATGGCTGCATAATATTCCATGGTGTACATGTGCCACATTTTCCCTATCCAGTCTATCATTGATGGGCATTTGGGTTGGTTCCAGGTCTTTGCTATTGTAAACAGTGCTGCAATGAACATTCATGTGTACGTGTCCTTATAGTAGGATGATTTGTAATCCTTTGGATATATACCCAGTAATGGGATTGCTGGGTCAAATGGAATTTCTATTTCTAGGTCCTTGAGGAATCGCCACACTGTCTTCCACAATGGTTGAACTAATTCCCACCAACAGTGTAAAAGTGTTCCTATTTCTCCACATCCTCTCCAGCATCTGTTGTCTCCAGATTTTTTAATGATCGCCATTCTAACTGGCGTGAGATGGTATCTCAATGTAGTTTTGATTTGCATTTCTCTAATGACCAGTGATGATGAGCATTTTTTCATGTTTGTTGGCCTCACGTATGTCTTCTTTTGTAAAGTATCTGTTCATATCCTTTGCCCACTTTTGAATGGGCTTGTTAGTTTTTTTCTTGTAAATCTGTTTTAGTTCTTTGTAAATTCTGGATATCAGCCTTTTGTCAGATGGGTAAACTGCAAAAATTTTTTCCCATTCTGTTGGCTGCCAATTCGCTCTAATCACTGTTTCTTTTGCTGTGCAGAAGCTGTGGAGTTTGAGTAGGTCCCATTTGTCTATTTTGGCTTTTGTTGTCAATGCTTTTGGTGTTTTGGTCATGAAGTCCTTGCCTACACCTATGTCCTGAATGGTTTTGCCTAGATTTTCTTCTAGGGTTTTTATGGTGTTAGGTCTTATGTTTAAGTCTTTAATCCATCTGGAGTAAACTTTAGTGTAAGGTGTCAGGAAGGGGTCCAGTTTCTGCTTTCTGCACATGGCTAGCCAGTTTTCCCAAAACAATTTATTGAACAAGTAATCCTTTCCCCATTGCTGGTTTTTGTCAGGTTTGTCAAAGATCAGATGGTTGTAGATATGCTGTGTTGCCTCCGAGACCTCTGTTCTGTTCCATTGGTC